AAGCAGTCCGTCGGTGTGTGCCCGGGATTGGGATCCGAACCCGGGCCACCAGTAGTGGAGCATGCGCGCACTTAACTGTTAAGCCACGGGGCTGGCCCAGATATTCAATTCTTAATAGGACTGAAACCTCTTTGAGATCAACGATGTCATCATATACTACTTAAATACTCTTAGGTAATAAATAAATGAATAGTTATATTAATTCAATAAATAAAGGGCCTATATTAGTTCACATCCACTGAACTTATTAAAATAATAAAGTCTCATCTTTGGCATGTTATTGCGGTACCTTTGCAATAACCAAAGCTTACCTCTCGCTGTTCTCCTCCATAGTATCTTGCATTTTAGAGGATAGTTCTGTATATCTGTCACCTGCCAGTTTTTCTTCTTCTAGGCCTATCCTGTTCCCATTGTATTTTTCAGTCATTATTTTGGTTGGTGAATGATCAAAAGCAGGACATAAGTCTTCCTTAGAAAGTTCTTTCCACCGTTTCTAGGTAGGGAAGAGAAATGAAAAACAAATACAAACAATAAAATTTTGGCTTTCCTCAAATAAAAAGCATTTATGAATTGAAATTCTATATGCAAGTTAAGAAAACCCTGTGATGCTAACAGATGAATGAAAAAGAAAAAGGCGTTTTACCATACCACCTCGTCTAGTGGTGTCTATTTAAATTCACTTAATATTTATATGCATCTGTATGTACTTGAATATAATCATCTTAATAAAATTTAGTGGACTTTAACCTATTTGAGACAAATTATACTAGGACCTCACTAAAATATCAGTCGTAGTAATATTTTAGCCAAAGCCAGATTTTGCTGGACTCCTAATCCACAGGTATGTAACACTGGAAACAGTGACTAAGATGGCACCTGAATGTGATCTATTATCTCCTTATTCCTTGCCACTGTCTAGTCTAATGGAGAACCAACAGTGAGATTTCCAAGCAGGTCCCTATGATCCCAGAGGACTTGAATTTGGTTGTCCCTACCAGGTATACTGGCAGCTCCAGGCAGCTAGCCCATCGGGTTAGAGAAAACTCCTCTAGCATGCCTGGACTTTAAAGAAGGCAGGATACAGGCAAGACAAGGAGAAATTTCATCTTTTTCATCTAAGTAACAAGGGAGACTGTCGTGATTAATGAGATGACACGTGAAAGGGCCTAGTATCATGTCTGGCAAATGTGAGTTTCCTTTGCCCTCACTGCCATCATCCCTATGGAGAGAGGTAGAGGAAGAAGAGGTACAAAGTATACCTGGGTCCCTGGAAGATGAAAGCAGTGACAAAGTACAGGCCAGAGAGGGAGAAGACAAGCATAACCTCAGCACAGGGGACTTCTGGCTCTCTAAGTCCTTAAAGGGCTGAGAACATGACCATCCATCTCTCTGCCAATAACCAGAGCAGTAGGGCAGACGGTAGCAAGAGCCGATAGTTTTGATTATGACTTTGACACTGGTGCAAAATGACTTGGTATAGACAGGGGTGGCTATCTTTGAAGATCTGATAGGATCTATCATGGAAGCATGGAGTCTCAGATATAATGAATAAGGGATTCCATAACTTATTGTCTGAGGATTTTAATGATTTTGAACAGAGCTGTAACATGAACAGAGATATAACACTGCAACTTACTCTTTTCTGGAATTTACGGAATGCTCATTCCTTGGAGTTACAATAATGGCATTGTTAAAAACAATGCTTGTATATTTATATTTTTTAAAAAATCCCTGGAAAATTCATTGATACACTGATAAACTAGTTTCTAACTTGTCTCATTATCATACAACAGAGGAATTAAAAAGAAAAGGCATTTTATCACACTTCACCCTTCCCAAATATGGTTATTTAGTAAGTTGTGTAAGTAATGTACCCTTTTCTTTTATAGGAGCTGATTCGCAAAAGACCTAGAGAATGTAAAATTCTATAATTGTTATATTTGGAGGACAGTGAGTGGTACAGTTTGGTACAATTTGGCTAGAAGATGAAGAACATCTTGAGCTTGACCCTGAGAGATGAGACCAGAAAGGAAACAGACCTCAAGAAAAGAAGTCTTTGAAATTAATTTGAGAAACAGTGGGGTGGAACTGAACTCTCCTGAGCAAAGATCTGATAAGATTTACACTATATTCAGAAAGAATATTTTGCAAACACCTAAGAAACTACTATAATGGAACATAAGAGTAAGATGTTTTCACTCTCGATGACTGTGTCAATTCTCTTTCTTCTCCTACTTTAAAGTTTTGTTACTTGGTCCAAATAGCATTTTTTACATTGAAGAAGATACAAGTGGGGAAACAAGATATTCACTAAGCACTTACTATACTCCATACTGTTCTAATGCTTCAAATGTACTAGTCTTTAATCCTCACAAGAACTTTAGGAGGCAGGTAGTACTACTGTCATCATTATATGTCTTTTACAGTTGAGATGGGTTGAGAGAGTTTAACTAACTCGCCCAAGGCTACGCAGCTAATGAACAATAGGGCCAGAATTTTAACCCAAGCAGTCTGGGTTGACTATGCTGTAACCCCTCATGATTACCTCTATTTCTGAAAAGCTCATCAATTTCAGTCACAGGATAGTTTTAAGAAAGAACCCAATAAAAATGTTACATTGTCTCCAGAATTTATGCTGGTCAATTTTTGATGTTTCCATTCTTCACTGAGACCTAGTTACAGCAACTTGGCCTTATACTTGGACAAAACTCAAAAACGTCAATAAATGAGAACATGCCAAAAATCAAGTCTCACTGGATCACTTCCCAGAATATGCAATAAATTCAGTCTGTCAACAAGAAAAGCACTCAGCAAAGAGGGAGAAAAAAACAGAGATATTTAATGCTAGCGAATCAAAAAAAAAAAAGCAACGTCATTTTGCCATGTCCTTGGGCAGCAAACTCACTCTACTTCGCCTTCCCTGTGACACACAAGCAAGCAGGCACTCCAAAGTCACCTGCCTTGGCTTGTCACTGCTGACTGGTAAAGCCAAGGAAGCAAAACTACTTTCAGCTACAATCTCGTTCAAGCTCTCATTTTGCGGCCCAGAACACAGCTGTCCAGACCAAGAGTTTTTTTTATCTTTCTTTCTAATTCTATACTCATGTTGCACCCCACTCTCCCGCCTGTCATATGCTATGAGCAACGCACCAGGCACTGCCTGCAACCTCACTCCACCCATTTCTCACTGAAGAAAGCCCCTTGGAGGAGCAGTCAAGTGGTGTAATTAAACTTGAAACCCAATGTAATTTGTTAAAAGTATATCGTTTACTTAATACTTTATTAATAGCGTCAAATTACCAGCTAGAGATCTTACAACATCAATTCTGAATTGCCAAATTGGATTATTTACTCTGCGAGGTTTACTGTCATCACTGATACCGGGAACGTGCTAATAAATATGTGGTAATACCAGACACAACATTGCGTATTTATGCCTGACTTTGTGCCAAGAAAGATGTAAGGTAAATGATATCACTGTCGGAGACAACTGGAAATTATCTATATTTATCTAGGTAGATCAAGGTCATTGGAGATTTCTTTAAAGAATATATGCTATAGGATTATAATTACATACATACATTTATTGATTTTAGATACATGCACTTCAGATATAAATATTAACAGCTCTCCTTCGTCCCAACAGGTTTTAAATCACATTATATCCACGTATGCCAGAAAAATTCACAGAAAAACTAACAGAAAACTATATCCAATAATGAAAATATCACTCACATCATATAAATCTAAGTTACCACTGAAGGTGAAGACAGATGTCCCCTTTAGGAAAAAGTACCAGAGATGAAGAATTACAGGGGTCGGGTGCCACTGAAAAGACAGCTGTCTGGAGACAAAAAGGTTCAGGAAGTGCCCTCCCCAACCCCTGCTGTCGTGCTCACACCAGAAAGAAGCTTCCTTCTTTCTTCTTGCAAATATTAATTTTTCCCAAAAGTTAGAGGCAAAGAGGTGGAGGTAGATGTATGGAAAGAAAAAAGAATCTTTTGGTAAACTGGCTATCACATCTTTGTATGTCAAATGAGATACTTTTATGGGCTACAGTTATATTCATGCAGTTTGGGGTTTCTACATTAACAAAGTAAGTTTCAATCTCTGTAACAGTAAACTTTTATGATTTAAGATTTCAGGGAACTACTTCTCTTAGATTTCTATTCTAAGCTAAGGTTCTAGTACAGCACTGTCCAATGAAATATAATGTGAGCCATATATATAATTTAAAATGTCTAGCAGCCATGTTAAAAAAAGATGAATTTTAACAATGTTCTATTTAACTCAATATTTAAAAAATATTGTCATTTGAACATACATTCAATATTTTTTAAATTATTGAGATATTTTACACTTTTTCTCCCTGTATTTTAATCTTCAAAATCTGATATGTATCTTACACTTGAAGCAGATCTCGAGTCAGACTAGCCATATTTCAAGTACTCAACAGCCCATGTGGTTAATGGCTATGGTACTGGACAGTGGCATTCTAGGAAGAGAAAAATATCTATGTAAAGTAAACAAACCCATATAAATACACATTCCTGGAAGAATACATACATGCCAAAATGGTTACATAATTTGCGGTGGGTGAGTTAAAAGGACTTCGATATACTTCCACATCTTTTGAGCTGTTTTACACTCAACATGTACTCATTAATTATTTTTTTATAATAAAGAAAATTCACGGCACCACATAAATTATTAGAGACTTGCTAGGATCATTTCTGTGGAAACTGACCCCTCTGAATGGGTAACAGGCTTTTCTGATCCTGAGCACCTGAAAAATACAGACACATTTCCAACGTATTATCTGGAACAGGAGCAGAGAATGCCTTGGGTTTGAACGGGGTGCTAAGATAAACTGAGAATCTGATGGCTACACCATACCAGATCAATTGGGACAGAAAAAATTCTCCCAAGCCACAGACTGCACTGTCATAATAATAAAGACCACAAAAAAGTATGCCCATAAAACTCATCTCTGTAGTGAAAAAGATCCTCAAAGTACGTACGTATATGTTCTAAAACTAAAGAAACAAAACTAGAAAAAAATTTAAAGTGGAGGGAGGAATACTATCCAAAGAATAGCATACTTTCCCTACAATTACTCAGTCTGTAAGAACAACCAGGAAATAAGCACTGAATGGCAAATAGTGAAGGTACACAAGTGTGGGGGAAAGTGTGATATAACTACTTAACTTGTTTTAAATTCCAGATTTAAGCCGGTAGAAGCCCACTGAGACAAAAAAAGAGAGACTTTCCTAATCTTAAACGTTTGAGATAACTTTTACTTCTCCTAAATCACTGTTCATTGCCAAGCAAACCCAATGCTGACTCCAGCAAACCCAATGCTCCCAAAGTCAGATTTATGAAGTAGGGTCTCCTGTTTTGTAGGCTTAATCTTCCACATACTGAGTATTTTACTGACTGATGGCATCGAGTAACCTAATGTCTCTCCTCATTAAAAATTATTCTTTAATTCTATGTAAAGATTTGAAAAAAATTTTCTAATAAAACTTAAAAATTTTATTGATAAATATAATAATTTGTCTTGAATAGTTAAAATAACACCAACAATCAGAACAAAAATGTTAGCTACTGGTAAGTAAAATCACTTAAGAATATATTAACATGTGTTTGAAATCTATACAACACAACACATAATTCCATTATGACAGATGGTCTGATCTAAGTTATAAAAGAAGGCTTATTCAGAATATTCCTGTTTTGGCTAATACTCACAGAAATTAAAGGGCTAGTAAATGTGTTCATATAAGAGAAATACACAGATTCTATCTACTTATATCCAACACTATGTGATTATATCAGACAAGAAATGGGGGTCTGTTGTTATTTGTTTCTATTTTACATTTTATGTTAGTATGTAACACAGATTTCTGATAATCAGTCTTTGAACTTAGCTTTTGCAAATGTGGAATAAAAATATCTTCATGAGAACAAAGCCAAAACCAGAGAAAATATAACATTCTACTGGAATTTCATTATGTTTGCCGTAAGTACTCAAGTTGTTCATTGTTATAAAATGAAGTATCTGTTATATAAACTAAGTATTCTATAATACCAGGTCAAGTTTTTCATGGGGTAAAAGTACCTAAATTTTCTGGTTTATTTTAATGATTAAATGCTTAAACCCTCTTTACATAAAAATTTTACTTTCTTTAATGAAATCTTGTTCCCACTAGGGCTTTTGAGTAAAGGCAGGATTTAACACGAGGCTGAGGTATATATGAGGAAGTAAGCTTAAATTTTACAAGTTTAAGACAGCCAGCTGGATTTACTACATTAATATAAATATGCTTTTCAGAAGGAAGGGAGAAGATCAGTGCTTCCATGGAGTGCTGTTATTTGATGCTAATCATATTTAATACACAGGTATTATTTTTCCCCTAAAAAAGTTTACCTGTATATTTGAATCTCCCTTTATAAATTTTGCTCCTTCTATTATAGTCATATATGAAAATCTGAGTTGATCTGGTGTCTGAATAAGTCCCATTCGATATTTTCTCATATTCAGTAACAGCTGTTTAATGTTAATATCATCTCCTTTTTCCATCTGCAAGAAAGGTAAAAATTATTCAAGCCTTTTGTTGTTAGAGTCCAGGAAAGAGAAGCAATACAAGATAACTGCTAAGAGTTTGCTATGTGCTGTGTTCCTCCTCAAGAACAAGGATAAGCTACCTTGCAGCTATAACTCTTTATGTACTAGACAGCCATCTCAATCCATCCATACTCCCCACACTTCAACTGTTCAAGTAGTAGATGGAGGACTTCTCTGGTCCTTTAGCTGATTCACAATTGATTCCAAACCAATCACAGTAATCTCATTCACTTTGGCCAGCGTTTGGTCTAAGGAAGGATTTATGACCAGTTCTGGCTTACATAAGGATAAATCCACTGAGATTAGTGCTTTTATCTTTGAGGAAGATTGGCCCTGAGCTAACATCTATTGCCAATCCTTCTCCTTTTTTCTCCCCAAAGCCCCACTAGATAGTTGTATGTCACAGTTGTACATCTTTCTAGTTGCTCTATGTGGGACGTGGCCTCAGCATGGCTTGATGAGTGGTGCCTAGGTCGGAGCCCAGGATCCGAACCAGTGAACCCTGGGCCGCCAAAGTGGACCGTGTGAACTTAACCGCTACACCACCGCACCCGCCCCAAGTGCTTTTTTTTTTTAAAGAAAGGTTTTAGCAGGAATAAATCTTTTTGCCCTGTGCTCTTCCACCTTTGTGTCTGTGTAGAGCAGCCATCTAAAGATGGTGGAGAAGAAAGCAAGAGCTTGATCCACAATGACACTGTGGAGCCACTGCACCAGTCCTGGACTACTGATCTGGTACTATAACCACAATACCCCCCACCCCAACTGAAAAAGAAAACAGTTGTTGAAGTTATGTTTGGTAGGGAACAGGCACAAACACAAAATCCAGTTTTAATATTCACCATTAAAAAAGTAGAAACTAGAGTTTTTAAACATGTCAAAGTTCACTTTAATGTAACCCAATTTTTGATTGAAGTATATTATATATAGGCAGAGTGGTAAGAATACAGTAGATATGTTAAGACTCAACCGTTCCTATATCCCAGAAGCACCCTACACCCCAAGGAAGGTAAAATGGACATCCTAAAAAGAGAAAAGGCATAGACCTGTATCCGGTCTGGGGTTGGGAATGGGTTGGTGAAGAAAGAATACAGCCCTTGAGGGTACAGATAGGAATCTCAGGGGAATAATAACAATACTAAAATTTATCGAGTGCTTAGAAATTACCAGGGACTCTTCTAAGTGTTCTAAATGTATTAATTCATTTAATTCTCACAACATCCCTGTGAGGAAAATACTATCATTATCCTTAGTTTGTAAATAAAGAAATTAAGCCAGACAAATGAAGTGCTTGTCTGAGGAGGAAGGAATTCAATATTACATATCAATTTATATTTGAAGAATAAGGGGAGGGGAAGGACCTATTATCTCCGTAATATAAAGCTACCACAAGAAAAAATAAGTTTTCTTGGAGATCTCTAGAATTATCTTGAACAAAGCTCCACCAGTCACAAATAAGAGGCAGTTGAAAGGATGTAAATGAGATTTTTAGATTTTTCCAAAAAATGGCAGATGGTTAAGTCTGAAAAACACAGTTTTGGGATACTGACATTAGAGCTTACTTCTGTCAGTGGAAACAATAAACAAGTAAACAAGACTAAAATTAAATGATGAGAAGCACTTACCAGAATAAGACAGGTATCTACTAGAGAAAAGGTGCCTGACCGCCCAATGCCTGCACTACAGTGGATCACTGCAGGCCCATGTTCAGGATTCAAGGAACCAGATTCTCTCACTTTAAATAAGAAATTGAGAAATGAAGCTGGTGATTCAGGGACTCCAAAATCTGGCCAGGTAGTATAATGAAAGTGAGATATTGTTCTGGTTTCACCACTCTAAAAAAGTGAAAATCAAAGGGGAAAAGTTAGTTCTAATTTTTTCTTTTACAAAAACTACTTCAGAAAGATTAAGTGTTTTGTGTAACACTTTTAATCTTTATGGACTTTTTGTACCATGATTTTTCATTTGGTTTTTGATAATCACTTATACGAGTTTGGAAAGATTTTCGTTAGGAGAATTTGGAATATATTAATAATAGCTAACACTATTATAACACTTACTATTTTGCAAGCACGTTCTAAGCTTTTTATATACTGCTACAACCCATACAACGATCTTATTAAAATCCACTTTCCAGACGAGAAAACTGAGGCAGAAGGTTAATTAATTTACCCAAGGTCACACATTCAGAAAATGGCAGAGCCAGGATTTGAAGAAGCAGTCTGGTGCAGCATTTGGGTTTTTAACCACTAACCTGCCATACATCCTGCCAATATTTTCTTTAATTCATACCTCATGATGAGTGGATTCTTTTTTTTCCCTATTTTTAAAAATTTCTACCAGTGTAATTTTACATTTTTCAATGGTTTCCTTTTTAAGAATTCTAAAATTTTTTTAGACATAATCTTTCCCATTATATGAGTTATCTTTTAGATTCTGCTACACACACACAGAGGAGCAACTCAAGAATTAATTTAAAGAAACAATCTTTACATTTTTAATTGAAATTGCTTTTCTAATCGCCGCTTTTCTCCATGGGAATAATTTCCAGTCCTAAAACTGTTTATATGCTTTTGCTGATGTGCTAAAATGGTTTACCAACATGCTAAATGTTTCCTGTCTCTTAAAGCCTGCCTGGCATTCACTATCACTTCCTGGATATGCCTGATGATCTTTATTTCTGACTAACTCATTATGAAAATGTTCTTTAGCTTTTGCCAATTGCCTTTTGCCCCAAGAAGCACTGCTGTACCTTACTCTTCATTTCTGTAAATGAAGGAGTAATCCTCTAATATATCTTTGCACGATTTTTCAGTTTTATTATAGGACTTTTTTTGGAGGGAAGAGATACTGGGGCCCAGGGCAGGCCACCCCAAAATATCCCACAATAGCATATTGATTATTTTGAATTAAAATACTTGAGAAGCAGCCAATACAAAAAAAGGCATTTTGACACTCTTCTCTGTTCCCCCTGAAAGCAAGAAATAAATCTCCCACGTGAAAGGTGCTCTCCCTGCATCCTTATCATGAGAGCTAGGAAATTCAGCGCTGAGAAGCCTACATAAACAAATCTTGCTAATTTACTACTTCAAGCTTAAACTGTGCTTAAATTCCTCACTAATTACATACCCCAAACCTAAGTTTCTTTGTCCTGTCATTCCTTAGAAACTTATTGTTTCTTTGTATAAAAGATACATATACTGCCTGCTTTGTTCACTTTCCAAGCATCATTTCTTTATGATCTCCAATATGTACATATTAAACTGGGGTTTTCTCTTGTTAATCTGGTCTTGCGTCAATTTTATTATTAGTCCAACCATAAGAACACAAGGATAGATGGAAGGAATTTCCCCCTCCCTAACAGAGACAGAGAAGCAACATAAAAAAAAATGATATTTTTAATGGTTACCAGCTAAAGACTATTATTATAGCATCCTGCTTTCAATACAAATTTCCAAAATTAAAGTTAGCTTTCACTTTTTAAAAATAAATTTTCCCTTTTTTCAGCAGAAATTAAGACTCCTAAGTCTTAGATTCGATTATATGAGGTATAACACTGAAAAAAACAGTGCAGATATTTAAAAAAATTTTTTTAATTATATTTTTAGTGACTAATTTTTCTTATCGTCCAGCTTTCAAAATTCCAAATACACTGTGATCCAAAGGTTCTCAAGATACTGAAGATACTAGATTTCTCTGCTGGAAATTAAAATGATCATTGTGATTACTAGATTTCAAAACATTTCCTTTTAAATTCCAAATTAAGTATGCTAAGTGGAAGAAGCCAGACTCTAAAGGCTACATACCTTACGATTCCATTTATATGATAGTCTGGAAAAGGTAAAATTATAGGAATAGAAACCAGCTCAGTGCTTGCCAGGAGCTAGGAGTAGGGAGTAGGGAGGACTGTACACAAAGGCAGCATGAGGAAATTTTGGGGGGTGATAGAACTGTTCTGTATCTTGATGGGAGGGAGTTACAACACTAAATACATTGTCAAAACTCACAGACTGTACACCAAAAAGACTGTCTCTTACTGTATGTAAAAAAGGGAGTTAAACTTACTGTATTAAAAAAAGGTATTTAAAACATTCCAAATTAAGAAGGCTAAACTGTAGTTTCCTTTTACAAAGCCATAAATGGACAGGTAACAACACAATACCAACATAGGAATGGGCTAAACAGGCTGGTCCCTAATTAGCCCAGGGGTATAGTTAACTCAAAGTCACATTTTCTTTTAAATGAGGTCTAAGTTTCCAGTAGGTGTTTTAACTCCTTTTTTCCCCTGACAACCACCCTGCTGTGTTCATCAGCCTCCATGCAGTGCTACCACGTACAGCAGGGCCCATGTGAGCCTGAACCAAGTCCTGCTGGAGTTCCCAGGTCTGGGAGGGGTGGTGCCAGGACCCTGCTTAAGCGCCAGCTGCGCTCCCTAGGGTGTGGCTCAGGGTTCCTACAAGGCTGTGTGCTCAATTATTGCATCACTTCCTGGCTCAAAACCTATGGTTACCCCATAATCCTGAGTGACTGCTTGCTTTTTCTTTGCTTATATAATTTTAGCTCAAGACTAGTGGTCTCTTGATTTTTTTCAAATTCAGGTCATGCTGTCTGGGACACTCAAAGCCAGTTCCCAGAAATTCTCATGTCTGTTTGTATAATACAGTCTTCCCCACTAATAGATTTTTGAAAATCAGTCTTTTTCTTTCCCTACAGGACCAGACTGAAGAACTTCTAGAGAGTGTAGTTTTTATTAATTCACTCCTACTGAAACAAGATTCAAAAAACAGAGCTCACAAAAATCATAATTCTCAAAGGACCACATAAGTAATAAGATTCATTTTTACTACTGTGGTATAAATGAAATGTTTCTATACATGATTGGACCCCTTTTCCCTCTTTATCATGCTGGAAAAAAAAAAATGAGAGGAGAAAAAAGGGTTGCCAAAGGATAGAAAACTGAAACAAAATTCATCTTTATACCAGACAAGCCCTACATTTAGACGTTACAATTTTTGACAAACTCCTTCTTTCAAAACTGTGGAAGCACCCTCTCCTCCTCCTACGTCACCAAGTCACACCAGTTCTCCTTCTGTGAGGCCCAGTCGGTACCTTCCATCCCTTTCCCACTGCTGCACCTCATATCTCACGCATACCGGGCTGCTTTCATAATTGCATGGCTGTCTGCATCTCTGGCCACTCAGCACATGCTGGCCAAGTTTTCTTTATAAAATGCTGCATTATGTATACCAAACTCCGCACAAGAATGTCGTTCTTTTTAAGGCAAAATCTCATTTACATTTTTTGAAGGAGAATTCAAATTTAAGGTCTTTGAATAAGGATATCAAGCTCATTATATATGGATTCACAGTCATATAATCTATGAATGGAGGAGGTATAAGACAATGGGGAGCTTTAGGCTTATGGCAATTTAAGTGTATGCTGTCTAAAGCCATTCAAATTCAAGTTAACTATTATTATTATTATAAATATATTTAAGAAGTTTATAAATTTTCTAACTATTATAAAAAATCTATACAGCTCTATGGCCCCAGGCCCAGTTATTGTCACACTTTAGGCATATATAGAAGGTAGCAAGATTATGTTTCCAAAAGACTTTCATAAGCCTCAGTTTTGTCATCCTTAAATGGGGTTAAAAATAGTTCTTGCCTTATAAGGCTACTGTGAAGAATAAATAAAATAACGAATGTGAAGTGCCTAATACACGCCTGCACGTGGTAAATGCTTAACAGATTATACTCACTAATTGCCTTTATTTTAGCCCCTAATAAGCTCCAATCAATTGTAAGCCTCTCCACATTTTTCAGTCTCTTCATTTAATATTTCCTCTATACCTGAAGAGTAGCAACCCTACTCTTTTGTCAACCCTATCTCCTAAACACAGATTTAATACATCAAATCTGTACCCTCTATGTCACTGCCTTAGTTCAGTCCCTCATCAGTTTTTGCCAGGATCATTATATTGTCCATACTAAATTGTTATTGTAATTCATTTTGAAAGACAAACAAAACTCACCAGGTCAGGAGGAGAGGAGAGTGACAGGAATAGTTAGGCTTGGGGCTTGCATTCTAAACAGACAGAAAAACAATATGCAGATGCATGGGCCCCCAAGGAACAACCTATTTGAGGAGTGTGAGTGTTTTGGCAAAAACAAATCATGAGTGCCTGAAGGAGAGGAAGGCAGACAGGGAGGCAAAGACCAGGCTGGGCTGGGTCATGGACTTCTGCACTGGCCCTGGAAGGATTCTTTAGAGCATGGTGGAAGGATCATGCCTGTGTTTTACAACAACCGCTCAGGTGCAGTGTGGTTGACAATGTACTCGGTGCAACTGCAGAGGGGAGGACAAAGGCAAAAGTAAGGACCCTGCCCAGGGGGAGTTGAAAATCTTACTATGGAGTAAAAATAGACACATACACAAGTATTGAACAAGCCAGTAAAATGGTAAAATTTAAATTACGGAGAGAAGTGCAAGAAGTTCATAGCTGGTAGGAATAAATGCATCAAAGATATAGTAAGAAAGACCTAAGTCAGAAATGGGGCACAAGGTGGTACTGAAGGATGTGTAGGACATAAATAGGTGTAAAAGAGAGGAGGACATTCCAGGTGGGAGAAACTGTTTAAACTATTTTGAATCAAATCCCAGCTGAGCATCATAATAATTAGGCACTCATCCTGTTTTGGGCAGATCTACAGGGATAGAGAAATAGAAGGCAGTCAGCATTACAACAGTATTCCTGGAACTAGATAAACATAAAGCCCGCCAACAATATTACGGAAAATAGTGAAGGGCAACTAACAAGAAAAACCTTAAAGACAAGTAAGTACTCTAGATGTCCTTATATTTAAAAAGCACCTCAAATCTATCTCCACAGCTTCAGCCGCAGGGCCACCTTAAGAGCAGAGATGGACTCTTCATTCAGAGGCCAAAGTTCAAGCTCTGAGCACTAATCAAGACACTAGAAAGGGCTGCCGGTATGTAGCTTTACTACTCCATTAGGCTGGAGGTCTCTCAAAGAGGAGTGCCTGCAGAGACGACAGCTTTGGCCCCAGATCTGTTAATAGCTACAAGCCAGACTCCTTTAGAAGGAAACTGGTTCTCTGCACCTCAGGAATCTCAACAAAGGTCTGCAGGTGAGGTTGGCTATCACTCCCCAAGTTCATCACCACCTTCTCTTGCCCCCTCAAGCTGTTCTTTTTCAACTGCCCTCGCTCCTGCAGTCCCTCCCAATTCATTAATATTACACAGGAAACAGATACACAGAGCTAAAACTAACAATTGTGGATCCTACAATGAGTCGCAGGCACTGGTATAGTATTAAATCACTTGATCCTTATACCAACCCTGAGGTAGGTATGTCATTATCCTCATTTTGTAGATGAGAAAGCTGAGGCTAAGAGGTTAAGTAATGGGACCAATCACACAGCCAAGAGTGTACAGTTGGGATTTAAATTCAGGCGCTCTGGTTCCAGAGTCTAAATACTTAACCAAATGCAATTCTGCCTCTTATACTCAAATGCTACTTTATTCTTCTAACATTCCTAGTTCTTACTTAAGACTGTAAAGTAGAACATAAACAAATTGTTGCTGTTTAATTATGGTGGACTCCAAGCTCAGGCCAGTAGGAAATCACACAGTTGCTAGTGTGGGAGATCAAGATTTGGCCACCCTGAAATATATCTCTTTACCTTGATTGTTTTCTCTGGGGACATTCGACCTCCCCCACTAACTGCCTAAAGAATTTGACATGGTGGCTCCTTCCTGGAACAGATCTTCTATCATGATGGCTGTAATGATAATGTAAAATAGATGTTACAATGGGAGGGGCACCAAGCCCCTTTTATCAAAAAACTCTATCTCTCCCTGACCACATTATCTATAGATGACCCTGAAAAGAATTGTCCTTCTGCCCTCTGAAGTCCCAGACCACTACCCACCCCCAACACATTCCTTGCCTTTAGCTGCAATACTTAAGCAAGCAGCTTAGACAGAGGGACGAGTTGCTCATTTCTGAGTTTCTCCCATGTATACATGTTATTAAACTTGGTATTATTTTCTCCTGCTAACCTGTCTTGTTAATTATTTGGCCAGCCATAAGAACCTTAAGGAAAAGGGCAGAGGGGGATTCTCCCTCTTCCCCCGACACTAGCAACGAAAACATGGTGGTTGGCCAGCTTACATGGCGGCCTCAACTTCAAAAAGATGCTTTAGAACCAAGAATCTTCCTTTACAACAATTAGCATCTTTTTCAAAAGACTTAGCCCCATGTCACTAGAAATTAGGAGATCTGGATTTGAGTTCTGAGTCACTTATTACCCAAGTAATCTATTTGTGGAAAAAATCCTATCACCTAATGGATTTTAGGGCTTTTTTTTTTAACTATGAAATACGGGGATATTAAGTTTATCTACATTACAAGAAGACTGTGGATCAAAAGATATATATGTGAAAGTGCTTTGCAAATTGATAAACAAAACACAAAAGTCATTCTATTTTCCTATTATTTGAGGTATAATCAACTCTCAATTAGGAGAGATTTCAGAAACAGGAAAAACATCTATGCCCTTCTCCATCTAAATAAATTTTAATGCCATAAGCAGATGAGGTACCTGGCATAAATAGCAAGAGAAGATGATTCAGAGAACCATGAGAAGTCTATGGAAATGCAGTTCTGTTTCTGGGAATGAGCACTGTACAATCCACTACCAAATAGTTGTGCATGTATCTCAATGCAGCTTAAGACATATGTAAATGGAATAGTTGGTGCAAAATAAATACAGTAAGGGAAATTTATAAATAAGTCTAAGCCTTGTAGTTCTCAACCCTGAGCCTTCTTAGATGATCTAAGAGATTACATAATAAGCTTAGTTAGGGATGTCATGGGAAGCTGGATCTGGGCATTAAGCACACAGTATGCACCTGTGCTTACAGTATGCAATAAAAAACAGAGATCAGGGGCTGGCCCCGTGGCTTAGCGGTTAAGTGCACGCGCTCCGCTACTGGCGGCCTGGGTTCGGATCCCGGGCGCGCACCGACGCACCGCTTCTCTGGCCATGCTGAGGCTGCGTCCCACATACAGCAACTAGAAGGATGTGAAACTATGACATACAACTATCTACTGGGGCTTTGGGGGGAGAAAAGGAGGAGGATTGGCAATAGATGTTAGCTCAGAGCCGGTCTTCCTCAGCGAAAAGAGGAGGATTAGCATGGATGTTAACTCAGGGCTGATCTTCCGCAGGAAAAAAAAAAAAAAAACAGAGATCAACCATAAAAGGTATTTCTACATATCTAAAACGTCCTTGGGGGGCTGGCCCGGTGGCGTAGTGGTTAAGTGCAGACGCTCTGCTTTGGCAGCCCAAGGTTTGCAAGTTCAGATCCCGAGTGCGGACCGACGCACGGCTTGTTAAGCCATGCTGTGGCGGCGTTCCATATAAAGTAGAGGAAGATGGGCACGGACGTTAGCCCAGGGCCAATCTTCCTCAGCAAAAAGAGGAGCACTGGCATCAGATGTTAGCTCAGGGCTAATCGTCCTCAAAAAAAATAAAAATAAAAAATAAAAAGTCCTTATATATATCCCTTCTCTTTTCTATAAAGCTTTTATTTGGTTGTTAACAATTACATTAATCACTTAATTCACTTATTAGTTAACTAAAACAGTATCTCACTTTATAGACTAGATATATTCCTGAGGTCATTTTTTAACACTTGCCTATTTTCTAGTTTTCCTAGATTCTAAAGCACCTCAGAATCACTCTCATTTCATATTTTCTAGTTATTCTAATTATAACACAAAGAAGGCAAAAGAGGTAAGTGGGAAAAGGGGGAGAAATGTCTTGATCCCCAGCTTGACAACAGCAGGCTCACAATCCACCATGTACATGTATCTCAATCAAGCACCAAAGAACAATTATATTTCTGGAAAAAATCCAAGTAAATGTTTTTGAAACCATATGCTAAATTTATTTCACCATTTTACCCAGTTCAATAAGGACAAATTTCTGAGTGGTGAATTACTTGAATTAACATTCCAGTAAGTTATTTTCTTAAATAGCTTGCTACTCTCAACAGTAGTAAGTACCAGGAGTAAGTTTACTGGGTGCCTACACTGTGTCAGGTGCTTTGCATGCACAGGTGCTTTGCATGCACATCTACATTGATCTCCACAACAGCCCTGAAAGGGCTGTATTATAATCTCCATTTTACAGACGAGGAAAGGCATAGGGAGGTTGAGGAACGGATTCCAAGGACACGTCTACTAAGTAGCAGGGCTGGGACTTGAATCCAGGTTGGCCTGATTCTAAAATCCTCTCTCTTAATTCTCAAAGTAATTTTAATAAATTATTTTTAATCCTCAAATATCAACCTCAGCTTTGAAATTCTTACTTTCTAGGGTTTCTTGAAAGTCCTCAGAGAGCTAACATACATAGGAACACAATCTAAAAACAAATGGTTATGACTATACACTATTATAGATATTATCAAAATGTCTGTGTTGCCCCAAACTTCAAATCTAACAACAAAGAATATTCTTAAAATCATCATACAAAGTCCAATCTTTTGGGCATGAAAAGTCTTACATTGATATTTTCTAATTGCAGTAGATGTACTGTATAATATGACTTCACATCTTCTGACAAGAACTTCACACTGAATCCTGTTTCTTTATACAGCATCTCTCGGTCGTCTTTTGTTGGCCAGTACTGTGCACATTTAACCTAAATTTAAGAATATGTATATGATTTTTTTTTAGTTTATAGACATTATGAAACCATAAAAAGTTGGAAAACAAACCACACACATACAAGCTATATTTTTCAAGTACCCGAATCTAAGAACAGTCACCCTATATTTGATGTTTAATGTATTTTGATAAGACTGACGTTCTATCAAAGCAGGGTTATAAAATGTTCCTATAACTTATACACTAAAAAAGACTGATGTTCTATCAAAGCAGGGTTATAAAATGTTCCTATAACTTATACACTAAACATAGATACCATATTCATAAAACAAAAATGAATTTGTTATCTCTAAAGCATGATAACCTATATTTTGACACCATACTGGCATTCACTTCATGTTTCTATAGGTATCAAATTCTTGCAAGAATCTAATATTCAAAGAGTACTGAAAAGGCTTTCTTTTACAAGTATTTTCCACAAATACCTATGAATTTCCTACTAAATACTAGAAATATCTATAAATAACACCGCATATTCACTTACTAAAATTTAGTCGGGAGAGATGCAGAAGATAAGCCCCCTTTACCTAGAGTTGTGACATTCTGGCAGAACTGAAATGGAATTCATTATTTGTGACAATAAAAGCATATTCCCAAAAGCCAAATTATGAAGCCAGCAGACTGAATGAGATAAAGAGTGTTTCATTAGGAAAAAACACCAAGAAAACATCCTTGTAAAATATGGCCATTTCTCCTTTTCGAAATAACAAATAGCTACAAATAACAAACAATAAAAATGCTTCCAGACCAAATGAATACTATGAGCTAATAATTCAAAAGGTGCTCAAAAATATTTTAAAAACGATACAAGAAGTGAAAAAGCATAAATGAGAAATTAGAACAACTCAGAAATGAGGTGACAGAACATAGCCAAGAATTAAAAATAACAGAACACATCATTTCAGAAATGAAAACTAATTAAACTAACAGAACAGAGGCATGAATAAACACAACAGACAATGCCTTAAGAGAAAAAGAAGAGGAAAAGGAGGAAATTTTTAAAATTAAAAAAAAAATGAAGACAAATAGGATTAAAAAGAACGTGACAAATATAAAAATAGGCAAAGAAAATCTAACATGTATAATAGGAGGACCCAAAGAAGAAGACCAAAGCAAGCAAGGGAAAAGAATAAATACTAACAAGTAGAATTTAATAAATTTTCTTTAAAAAAAAGAAAAAATGGGGGCCGGCCGAGTGGCGCAAGCGGTTAAGTGCGCGCTCCGCTGCGGCGGCCCGTGGTGCGCTGATTCGGATCCCAGCGCACACCAACGCACCGCTCGGCAAGCCATGCTGTGGCAGCGTCCCATATAAAGTGGAGGAAGATGGGCACGGATGTTAGCCCAGGGTTAATCTTCCTCAGCAAAAAGAGGAGGATTGGCAGATGTTAGCTCAGGCCTGTCTTCCTCACCAAAAAAAAAAAAAAAAAAGAAAGAAAAAATGTTTTAAATCACATACTGAAAGAACACACCATGTACCTGGAAAAACTGACCCAAAATGACAACACTAAGACATATTTTGGTAAAATTAATGGGATTTGAAGGAAAAAAAAAATCCCTTGGGTAACCCAGGTAAAAAGAACAAGTGATCTATAAAGGAAATACAGTAAAATGTCCATTTGACTTTGACAGTAATTTGTAATGCCAGAAGGAAATTGAGTAATATATTTAAGTTGCTCAAAGAAAAGCAAATGTGAGTCAGGGATTTTATATCCTACCAAACTAACTTTTAAGCATTAAGACAGCAGATAAACTATCATCGACATGTAAGAAATCAGAGACCATAATGCCCATGAGTCTTTCCTCAGGATCCACTAGAAATGAGCTATAGACAGAACAACTGGAGAGACATCAAGAAAGACTGATGATGAATATTAAATACATATTTACATGTAGAACTAAGATTTTAAAAGACAGATATGAGAGAGACTATAGGATGCTATACACTGTGACAATGTAGGTGAAGTACAACTAAAAGAAATAGAAAAAGAATAGAAAAACAAAAATTTTAAAACTTTTTTCAGTAACTATTTTGGTGATAGAGTTGATATTGTTACTATGAGTATTTTTTGTGTGTAATATGGGACAAAGGAAATGCGTCATTATAAGATATTCTATATCCCTAGTGTCTTTGAGAACCAGGATTCATGATATGGAAAAGGGAGGTAACAGATACAAGGTAGAAAACAGTTAAGCCAATGCCTATTGTCCTAAATTTGAATTGGAAATATCACTATGAACTCTTGAGGTATGTTATCTTAACACACAAATATGTTTTTCCTTAGCTCTGTTCACCGAAAAGCTCTAAAAACAACGACCAATCCGGTAGCAATAAACATCCCTATTTTTGTCGTGATCTTGAAATACCGTTGCCCATTAAAACAAACTAAGGTTCCTTAAAGAAATGGCTGATTCTATGAAGAAGAGTTTTAGATGAGCCTGCAATATGTAGTCATTCCAGATAGCAAGAAAACGATTAAAGACTCTTAGGTTTGTGTTAAAAGGACTCAGGGCCCAATTTAAAGAGATTCCTGCTAGCCCATGAAGGGACAATTTGACTATTAAGAAGGATAACTGCAATCGAGTGAAATGAATCAAGTATGTTTAGATCCATGAGTTCATAATAAGTGATCCCCTCCCACTCCTGCCCCCATGCCAAAAAAACCTAATTGGTCACCTGTTAAGGACACTAGGGAATCAGCTATTTTGAAAACTGCTTTTCCTACGTACAAGTGGTCAACTAACTAGAATGGGAAGTTTCTTTTTTATATAGAAGTATCCCAACAAAAACTCAAGGAAGAAGGATAAAATTGGAATATCACTATTTTGTAACCCCTAATTAATTAAGGAACTAACCATTGATCAACAATGGCTGCTAACATCATAAAAAGAAAGATAATCAGACATTATGGGCCTCTTAATAAACAACACACCACCACCCATGAAGTAATCTTCTCCAAAATAATTAAACCTGAATCTTATTGCTTAATAATCTAGCTCCAACCACCATAAATATGATTTCTAATTTCTGGTGGCAGTCTTATCTTATTAATATAGTAATTATACTCCAAAATGAGGGATGAAACTTATAAGTCATCTAGTTTGCAGTGCTGCTCAAACTGTTCAAATTGACAACATCACCACTTAATTTTTAAATCATATGGGAAACCATGCAAAACCACTCTAAATAACTATGCTGACAGTGCTGGATATTCTGATATGTCAATGCCACTTCAGATTAGAAATAGATTAGAAAAATTTTCACCGCCACTGAAAACCAGCAACGATGAATTTAGAAAAAAGTAAGAATCAGGAATCTTAAGAATAGTCCAAGATCTTAAGCCTGGAAGAGACCTTATTGACAATACTTTCCATTTGCTTATTTGACAGAAAAGGAATCTAAAGCTACAGAAGTTAAAAGACTTAACCAAAGCTACACCACTAATCAGCACTGTTTAGACTGTACTTCAAATTTCAATAAATTTATACATTCTCATACTTACTGTCTCACGAACTAAAAGCCAATAATATTTATAAAGATTAAAAAACCCTGTCACTTTAATCATTTACAAAATTTCCAAGATTTTGATAATAATTGTAAAGATTCTAATAAAGCCTAGGGATTCCAAAGATCTACATATCACTACTAGTCAGTATTTGTTCCATTATATTTATGTTTTGGGGGCAGTGGTCTACAATTGTTATTTAAATATTTAAGGTAAGTAAGGAAAAGGATACCATTAGTTCTTCTGGTCAGAAATACCTTGAACTCTAGCTTTTAGCAATTAAAGGCCAAACTAATGAATGAATATCCCAAAAGAAATATGAAAACATTTATAAGCTAATGATCACAGGAAGTACATTAAGTTGTAAAAATTAAGTACTACTCACCGATTCTTTCTCCACAACTCGGTTCAGCATGACAACTGCTTTGGTCTTTTGCTGCCAAACCATGAGCCAGAAATGACAACATGTATTAGGAAGTGGACCCTGTGAGAACAGAGAAGAAAAAGTAGATAAGAGAAAGGGGATGGAGCAAGGCTCAAGGAAAACTCCTTCAAGTATGGTTCTGGTTTGAGAACAATGTATTGGATCATAATAAGCAAATCAAGACATTAAACCCACTTGAATTAAAAAATAGGTCTGTACTAGTTGGGATTATTGGTTATAAATGATCAAAATCGATTTTTATTTATTTAGGTGGAAAAGGGATTTTTCAGGCTCTCAGGTGGCTTTCAGAGTTGAGGACTGGAGAACCAGGCTTGGGTAGGAACCACTGTCAAGGCAAGATTCTGCCCAAAGGAGAGTCATCTTGGGACAGACCTCCTGATACTGTCACTACTATCACCTTGCTTTGCTGGCACTGCCACACTAAGGTGGCTAACCTATAAGCAAACCAGAGTCAAAGCCATGAGTGGGAATATCTGACTGGTCATGTTCTAGCTGCAAAGGAGGTAGGCAAAGGAAATTTCTATGCCCTTCAGCTTCCCCAGCAGAAAGAGAGGCCCTGCCTCCCACAGATCATGGCAGTCCTGCAAAAGAGGAAGTTTGTGCCGTCGCTGGCCAGCCAACTACCCTAAGTTAACTATAAGAAGATTTCCAGAAAAAGGAGAAATTTCATAGTACCTAAACCATTATGAAACTGTTAATCTACAAAACCACAGCATGTGTGACCTCAACAGCAGACTTAAAAGCGGCAATGGTTTATATTACAATATTGCCACAGGAAAAAAAAAATCCAATAATATTATGTATTTTCAATTATCTTCACATTTTGCTTAATGGTAGCATAGGGCAGAAGAAAGGGCAAAGAAGAGATGAAAAGGCCTGCCCAAATTATAACTAATTTTAAATGAGAGTGAAGGTTAAAATGAATGAGGTTTTACTGTACCTAAAGTAACTCAACATGCATTCACCTCATAGGGCAATGTGGTAGAGTGGTGAGAGTTAGTGGCAGAGTCAGGACGCTGGGGGCCAGATTTGCCTGGAGCTTCAGCTCTACAAGTAAAACAAGGCGATTCAAGTGGTTCTAGACTGAAAGCACCTTTAGGGCAGTTGTATTCCCTGGTATGTAGGGATACTCTACAAATATTATTTAAATTAATAAACTCTAAGCTTCTAAGTTATAAAAATGCTAGAAATCTACTGAGAATCCTGAGCAACTGCAACCTAATGTTTGAGGATACTGTTCTCATCACTCTGCTTTCAAAAAAACCCAAACACTGTAAAGGTAGAAAGAGCCCTGAGAGAGCCCCCAGTAAAATGAATGCCTTTTCTTTCATCTAAAAAAAGGATGCATCAATTCACCAGTGAAGTTACTCCTTAGTGTGTATACACACACATATACACACATACACACACACACACACACACAACCACACACCAAATCTGTTAGTGGTTCTAATGGGGGAGAGGGGTTTATTTCTCAGCTCTTCCTACTGACCAGCAATATTACCAATTTTCTTCTGCAAAATGGAGATTTATACCAAGAGACTGATATATTTTTTAAAAAATCATAAAACTCAGAGGAAAAAGATGACAAAAATAATAAGCAACAAAGGACAATCAGAACAGCTACGTTTTAATAAACACTTGGCATCTCTAGTTTTCTCTATCCTTTGGAACATTTTCTGAGTATGTACTCTGTTCCAATGTACTAGGTACAACGGCAGAAGCAGTCTCAGCCTTCAAGAGCTTACTTACATAAGAGGTGAGGAGAAGTACTTGTCCTACTAACTAAAACACATCAAGAGCCACAAGAGTTAGGGGTAAATCATCCAATCTTTGGGAGTAAGAAGGGCTAGGAAGATAACTACAGCAGAGCCTTAAAAATGAGGAGGGCACTGATACAGGGAGAGGAAGTAAAAGGATGAAGAGGTAGTCAGAGTCCGTTCCAAGCACAACGCAAGGCACGTGCAAGCCTAGAAAACTTTTGGGAAAAGACAAATAGATCAGTGAGGGCAAAGTGGAGGTATGCAGTAGGAAACTAACCTGTAGAGTGTGAAGAGTCTTGAATGCAGGAAATAGCCATCAAACTTTGTTAAGAAGTAAAGTGATATGATCAGATTTGTACATTACAAAAATAATTCTGGTGGCATTGTTAAAGATGGATTAGGAAGGGAGGGACTGCTGGCAAGGATCTGGTAGATGATGAGGATAGCTTTAATTTAGATGAGAAAAATAGGAAGGGAGCTGGCTTGGTTAAAAGAAAAAGAGTTAGATATAGAAAATGTAGAATTTGTGATGTCAATGGATTATCTGCGTAACTGTACCTAGTAGAGACCTGGAAAATATAGCGGGGGAATTCAGGAAAGAAGAAAAAGCTCAAGACAGGCTTCTGAGTCCTCAGGCTCTAAATGGGGAGGGAGGGGGGTGTTCTGTCAGGACACACAGAAACAGTCCAACAGGAGGCTTAAACACAATGAGTAGGGTATTAAGCTGGCACTTTATCATGATGGGATTCACGATGTTTTATACAATGATTATTATTATTGTTATTACACTAATAAAAAGCAAAAACAAATGCCACAACAAATAATCCATGGAGTTCTTACCATAGTACCAGGCACTACATGAGTTTCTCTCAACATCGCTCTATAGATAATATAGATATATATTGATAATATAGATATGTAGGCTTGGGGAGTTAACTAGTCCAAGGTCACACAGCAATTTTAAGGTAGTAGAGTCAAATGATTAAGAGCATGAACCATGGAGCCTATGGGGACTATATGGCTTCAAATTCTGGCTTCATTTTACTTGTTTTATGACTTTGGTAAAGTTATTTAATGTCCCTGGGTCTCTTGAGATGATTCCTCATGTTTAACATAAGCATAATAACAGTATTTACACAGAGGGTTATCCTGAGGCTTAAATTATATAAAACACATAATACAGAACAACGTTACAAAATTGCTAGCTATTATTAATTTTCCTTCCCACTAGGATGTAAAGTTCATAAGGGCAGGGTCTTTACTAATGTCTGTTTTATTTGAACAATGCCTGTCACAAAGTAGGTACGCAGTCAATCTTTGTTGGACGAATGAATATCCAATGAAGTAGCGGGACCAGAATTTGAACACATACTGTGAATCAAGAGTCTACTCTCTTTCTTAAGATAGAAAGGTTGAAAATATGGTTCCAGAGAGTTGAAGTCACAATGTAGACTGGAAGGGGGAAAAAAAAAACCCTAAATTAGAATCTTGAGAAACACCTACGTTTTTAAGGACTAAGATGAGAAAGAATAAATGAGACTGGAAAAAAGAAAAAGACAGAAAGAAAGGGGTGTGATAAAGGATCTAGTGTAACTGTTCTTTTCTATTTTTTAACATTGTAGTTTTTTCAAATAGAAAGTAAAATTTTTTAACTCTAAAAATGAGTTTAAGAAAAACGTTATGAATGCTCACAAGAAAAATTTCAAATATGACAGAAAGGCATAAAATGGAAAATTAAAGTCTCTATTTATTCCTAATTCCCAGAAATAATGAGTACTAATGGTGTGTGTGTGTGTGTATATATATATATATATAATTTATTTAGCTAGTCCCTTACAGATTATTTGTCCCATTATTTCCGGTCCTATGCTATTAAAATTAGGTTGCAATAAACACCCTTACATATATCTTTACCTCTGTACTTATTTGACCCCTGAGTATTATAAACTTTTAAATCTCTGCTGTTCTGACAGGTGAAAAGTCGTAACTGATTGCTGGTTTAAATTTATATTCCCTAATTACTAGAAAAATTGAGTATCTTTTCATATATATATTATCTACCTTTATTTTTTCTTTGAACTGTGAATTTATGTTCTTTTGTTTACATATTCTCTTTTTCTTTTTGATTTACAGCTGTTTTCCTTCAAGTAAAATAAAGTAATTAATTTTCATTTCCTGTGAATTAGAAATAGTCTAACAGCTCAAAGTTACATTCATTTGAATATCTTTTATGATATTCAACTTTTTTCTCTTTCAGTAACAGGTTATTCTGACCCCAATTGGGTTTTTAAAAATTTCAAATATTTTGAATATACAGCTTATCTTTTGAATATTTAAAAATCACTAACTAGGAGAAAAAATGACAAAACTGTTAATTAAGTTTCTGTTATTCAATAAATAAAGAGTGGCTGGTGTGGATAAACCAAAATCCTTTCTATTATCTCAGAATGGGAGAAAAGTAGTGCTGAAATATGGGTGTGGCAAATGTGCCAAGAAGCAATCAGGCAGAAGGCCAAAGGGAACCCTCTGGTCTCCTAGCCAGTCCTCTGGATACCGGGCCTCAGCACTCGCACTCTACCCTGAACAAACGCCGGATCCATCAAGGAGTGTACTCTGACATGCATTCAAGAGTGTACTCTGAAAATATACGCCAGAGAGCAGGGTAGAGGAGAGCTTTCAAAAGGCCTCTGGTTATGACTCAGGTTATACGAAGAGAAACAGAAGAAGTTAACAAAGTATTAACAAAGATTTTGTATCAAATATAAAGCAAGGAAGATAATTTACCTGAAAAGAACTGGCCTAAGCCATTTCATTAAAAATTTTTCCTTCACAGAATATATAACTTTAAAAATAACTTTACTTCTATCTTAAATATGCAAAGCTTTAAAACATTATAATGTCTACAATTCATTACACAATAAAAGAAAAAACTGGAATAGCATTTCATTTCCAAAAGAAGTCAAGATATACTTTTAGCTGTGTTTTAAAGCAGACCAATCACAAAAACTGCGTTGTCAGGCATCTGCTTGACATCACATCACTTGCCTGTGTTAAGATGTAACTCCTTTGCGCCTCTTCTATGTCAACTAAGCTGGCATTAATATAATCATTTTCAGCATTTTGCAGTTTAACACGACTGTGATCATCTGAAACAGAGAATGATAAACTATAACTGTCGTTTCAAACTTGTCATTACTTTTTTATTTTAATATTAATGTTCTAGGTATTTATAAAATGATGGAAGAAACAAAGCAAAGAAAAAATAAATTAGCACCACACAGGAGCTGAGTCAAATCCAAAATTATTCCTTTTTTTAAAGGAAGTACAAAAACATAACCCTTTTCTTTGTTACCATGGTGTTGGAAGGGAAGTGCTTCTGTTTGTAGATTAGCTATTGTAACTAGCAAAATCAACCAAAGAGTAAAACATAGTAAAAGGAATAAAGCATCCACCTTCCTAAAAGTAAAAGGATCATTTAGATTCCTGATGCCTAAGAACTGAGAGGTCTACCTACAAAAAAAAAACTGGCCTCAAATAGATGAGAATAGATTTCCACAGTAACTACATTTCATTTTCTTCATTCCTCAGTAGATCTGCATTCAACTGTATTTAAATAATTTTTAGCATTTAACTACATTTAAAGTGCTAAAGATATTTAAATGCAGTTGAAATATTCCAATTCTTTAAAAGACACATAAAGATGCTTCATTATTTAGATTGTGTTATAGCAGTTTAGATATATTTCTAGTTTTTAAAAGTAAAAATTTCGATTTAGAATTTATGCTAAATAAAATATGTGGAGTATAAAGCTTTACCTTATATCATTTTGATGGGAAAGGAAGAGAAGCATGACACAGGGAGAGAAAGCACGTGTATAAAACAACAGAATTAACATTAACTTTGAATTCTAAATATACAACTGTCAGAAGCATATACAGTCATGTGCCACAGAATGACATTTCAGTCAATGATGGACCGCATATACAATGGCGGTCCCATAAGATTAGGATGGTGGTCCCAAAAGATGAGTATCATATAGCCTAGGTATGTAGAAGGCTATACCATCTAGGTTTGTGTAAGTACACTCTATGACGTTCATACAATGATGAAATCACCTCAAGATGAATTTCTTGGAATATACCCCCGTCGTTAAGCAATGCAGGACTGTAACTGAATTATAAACTGAACGCATGTTTGATGTTTAACTCTAGAGAATACATCCTATTATAAGCTGCTCCCCTCAAGGAAATCTATACCAAATATCCATTCTCTCCCCACTTTTAAACTAAAAACACTGTGTACATTATCTCCATACAAAAGAAAATGTTTAAATGGCTTTAGTTTCACACATCAATTTATCTGAGATGTTTCTGCTGGACTGAACCCAAGACCTGTAAATATTACATGTCATTTGTCAACAGGAAAAACTAAGATCTTGTTATAGTAAATCACTTATTCTAGTGTTCTGGGAAAGATGATGTCAGCAAGCACTTTTTTTTTGACTGTCACTTTTTTTTTTTTAACAGTTTAATCATCCTTTAACTGGTATATTATGGGAGACAGTAAAAAGGTCAGCCTCCTAATTAACAAAATAAAGACCATATATCTCCTAGATAACATACATCAAGAGAATCATATATGCATTTAGAATGCCACACAATCCCAAAAATTCAAGTCCCACAAAAATATAATACCAAAGGAATGTATTTCCTCATGCTGTAATCACAGAAAGAGCACAAACCCCAAAGGTTAATCACATCTATTGAGCAACTGAAAGAATCAATTTAGCCAACAAAGGCAAGAATCCACAAAAACTGGGAAGTTTCCTCTCCAGGGTGCTGGGAATTTGGTTGGCCTGCATGGCACCATCCCAGACTCTTCCAAAGCTGAGGAAATAAACCTAGAGAAAGACCTTCAGCAGTTTGTTTTCAAGAGTGTTTGACACCCTGATCTCAGGACTTTGAACTAGAATTCACTGTTGTTTTCCCTCTAGCTTTAAAATTTACAGCAGGTGTCATTGCCATTCATTAAAAGCACAGAATCACACACTGGTAAGGGCACAGATCCACTACCTGGAGCCCCGGCATCTGACCAATGGAGAGCAGGGCGCTACCTGAAAGGCACCTGGGGTCATGTAGAGCCTGGCCCCACAAGCCATGGCCCTGCTTTCCTCTAACATCGATTGATATAGTCAGCAAAAGCAGAGGAGCACTGAATTTTCTTAGGAAAAAAATTTTTTTTTAAATTTTGCTAGCACATAAGACTAAAAAAGGAAGGTAATCCTTGGGAAAACTCTACAGCTATTTATTTATAACTGGCTACAAATATTGACTGAACCTCTATTTTCTCAGGACTGACTAAAAACAAAACTCTCAAATACAGCTACATCATTAGATATTTATTTTAAATCTTCTGTTCTATTAAGAAGATTCATAAAAAATTAGAAGTATATAACTTTAACTTTTTGATTCAGAAGAGAATCTTTGTAGAGAAAAAAACATGAGAGTTTCTGGTGTTAAATAAAACATACCACTTTAAAACTATCTACAAAGATAGCAAGTATACGCATTTGAGGAAGTGAAACTATCAAAGCCTTTTTATGAGAAATTGTGACTTCATGATTTATTTTCTCTAGTAAAGATAAGAAAGAGGGTCAATGACTCTTTTCCAATTAAGAAGTGCTTAATGTATGGTTTAAAATATTTGTGAGTGGACACAGGTCCCCTTATAACCTAAGAGTCAATTGTTTCCTTTCCCTGCCCCATTACTATCAGTCAGCCCAAAATCCGTGAACTGTTCATTCCAAACCAAATTTTTGACTTCTGAATTAGAAAGAAACAGAAAGTTACATGTTTTTTCCTCTCCCATAGTTTATTCTGCCCCAAAACCTCTGAATTGAGATTATCAAAATGATGGAGTCCCATAACCCCTGGGCTATAAGTCCCAAAGCCCACAGCACTTTATCATCATTCTAAGTTTACGATTATCTCTTTCTTTCCTTTCTTTTAATGGATCCAGCAGAGCGAGAAAAATGAAGACAGTTCTCATATTGCATGATACAACAAAAGCAACCAAATCACACTTCACAGGAAATCTTATTTCTCAATATCTAATAAACACCAATAGCAGAACTATCAAGAATATACACTTTTTTCTATGGGAGCATCATCTACTCTTAAGTCTTGTCACCAAGTGAATGAAGAAATGCACTACCCCATAGAAATGTGGCTTATAAATTGGATAAAAATTAAGCAAACTTCTGATGAAGATTCCCTTCACCTCCCACCCTCAAACAGTATGTTTTCTGAGAAATGGTTTCATCTGCCAAGAAATGACTAGCTCTAGCTGTGGCCTGAGCTGACAATACAGATTAGCTTCCTCTTTCAATACTGTCATAATAAGCTTTTTTTATTAAAAAAAGAAACACAACCCCCACCACCAGGGGTTTCACCTAGTTTATCATCATTATAAAGACATCTCCCTTTGGAAAGTCTTCAAGGTCAAACAGGAAGGAGGATTTACATTCATTATAACCATCCTCAACAGGCAGAGATCAAGAATAATTAACATAAATTAGGCAAGGAGAGCAACTCTATTAGTACAGCATTAACAGACTTTTATTCTCAATCTCAATTCTCTTCATTCTCTTATTCTCAATGGGGGGGAGGGTGGGGGGAGACAGTAAGTTTTCAAATATCGTTGTCCATACTTATATGGTACTTCCCTGCCAAGAATACAAAGCATTTTATAGATATGCCAACCCACTTCAACCCTACAAGTAAAATACTTGAGGCACAAATATGAATTTTCTCCCATAAATCAAGCAATGAGCCAAAAACAAAGCTAGAACTAAAACCCAAGTCATCACAAGCACTACCATATTAATGCAGAAAAAACACAAACCACAGTATAAACAGAGTATTAACATTTCAATTGTTTGCTCTGCAAAGAAAAATCGATTTGATAAATGCTTCCTTTACAGACCACATAACCAACTACACACACAGTAGAAGATTCTTTAGCGCCTATGATGTGTTAGGTACTGTAGAACACATCTTACTGGGTAACTTCTCTCAATCCTCACAACCCTATGAAGCTGCTGATATTATCAGGCTCATCTTACCGACACTCAGAGAAGTCAAGTCACTAGCCTAAAATAACACACTCAAGAAGCGTAAGAGGAGATTCAAACCTAGGTTTGTGTAACTTAAGAGACTACATATTTCCCACACTATGTTGTCTCTCTCTCATACATCAAAGTTGGTTCCCCTATCACACACCCTAAATTCTTCCCGGCATCGCCTTTCACACTGTTCTTCACCTCAGATACGATTTCTACCTTCCTCTCTGTCACAAAAACCTTACTTTCTTGAAGATCTAGCCTATGACTTTTCTGCTCTAAACAGTCTCTCTGATGGAACCTCCACCTTGATGGTCTGTTCTTTACATTTGATACCTTCAACATTCATATGGAATTTTCAGCCAACAAATATATTTCAGGAGCCAGGCAACAGGGACATAAAGACAAGACAGTACTTGTTTAAAGCTTTTTAAACGAAAAAAGATTCTATTAAGTAATAACTCCTAGTACTATAATTTATTGCATTATGTGTTGTGAGAAGAAAGCTGACTGGTTGATGCCTGAGTAGGCCTAGTTAAGATGAGCAGGCTTTGCTACGTAGGTGAAGAAAGAACGGGAAAATTCCAGCAGAAGGAGCACACATAAAGAGGATTAGGAGGGAATGCCACATCATGAAGGACTGGCAAATTCAGAAAGGCTGAAGAGCTGGGTAGATGAGAGAAAGGTCCCAAAACATGTTGAGGCCACACTCTGAAGGGCCTTCTGTGCTGTGCTATAGGCACAGGCAACCTCAACGAAGCTCTTTATTTTTTTTTATTTTTTAAAGATTTTATTTATTTATTTTTTCCCCCAAAGCCCCAGTGGATAGTTGTATGTCATAGCTGCACATCCTTCTAGTTGCTGTATGTGGGACACGGCCTCAGCATGGCTGGAGAAGCGGTGCGTCGGTGCACACCCGGGATCTGAACCCGGGCCGCCAGCAGCGGAGCGAGTGCACTTAACCGCTAAGCCACCGGGCCGGCCCTCAACTAAGCTCTTTAAAGGAGTGACACAAGCACATTTGAT